AACGGCACTTCTCTGCCACACGATCACCACCAGTCACGCGCGGGCTGCGTATACTGCGAGGACGCCCACCAATACGCGAATTCGAACCGACGATCTTATGGTTGCAAACCGGGTGCACGGACCACTCGGCCACCGGTCGAGTATGGAGCTGCAATCATGAATTGCGAGGTTTGTGATAGAACGTTGTCACTGTGGAAAATGACTTTTCCTATCAGTGTTCCTGGCCTATTTCTCGATTTTATGTCTGAGACGTTTCATAAGGTCACAGTAATAATTTCCAGTGGTCTTATGCCTCTTGTCAGGAAACCAGTCATTACCACACCTCGGGAATCCCACAAAACATGCCATCACCTTGCCAGTTGACGACGTAACCTTAGCCTTTTTTGGCGTAGATGATACATGCTCCCATTGCTCCGATTGTTCTTTTCTTTCTGATTGAAAGTGTCGAACTCAGCACTCATCCGTAATAAGGAATCGCGCAAGGAACGTATCGGCATCTGCTTCAAACAGTTCCGACTTGTTCTTTGATATCACATGCCGATTGCTTTTCTGATCAGGAGTCAGTAAACGGCGTCTATAGAGCAGAAACTTGGATTCTCAATCTCTGCTGTTGGATGAATGGTTAGTTGGCGGCACTGTAGCTGAGGTGTTCCCCACCTCTAGCTAACGTGTATGATGATGATGATGATAGTTGGCGATCTTGCATGGCCATATCGACTGCTAGGTCAAGATTTTCTTTGTTGGTAGCTATCGATGGCCTCCGTGTCGTAGTTTCATCTTCCATACTCTTCCGCACATGAATTTTTGTACCAAGCGTTTTACTGTTGCATCTGGGGGGCACTGTCATCAATGTATTGAGCACTTCGTGTTGGATTTCAGATGACGTTTCTTTGATATATGAATATTGTATTACTGCACGATGCTCTGATTTCTCTATTTTTACGAAACTGCAAACCTTGTTCAATCCAAAACTTGCTGTAATGAAAGCAGAGGAGGTAGAAATGTGTTTGTATAATATAAGTAAGGAAAAGTAGTAGCTTATAAAAAATTTGCCTTTTGCCTTGCTTGGCTTTCAAATTTCTGTGCTAGGCTCGAAACTTACGTGCATGCTTAGGAAAGTTTATCAGAAACCGAATTTGTGAACAGCATGGTTTCATCCAGAAGAAACCATGCCCCTTCATTCTGCCGTGCTTTTTGGATGAGATACTCCGCCGTTTCGACGATGGGATCCTAAAAGTTTACTATCTAGACCTCGGCAAGACCTTTGATTCAGTTAACCATTATTTCTTATAGTAAAAGATAACGTTTTGGGATACCTTTTCAACTGTTGAATTGCATAGCAGAATTTTTTTGCATGAGCATCTTCTGTGTTAGGGTTGGTGGCTCCAGCCGAAGCACAGGCTTGCTCACATTGGTGTTCACCAGGGTTCTGTTTTAGGCCCGCTGTTCTTCCTCTGCTTGAAAACCCTTGATATATTTTTTGCGTACGATGTAAAACTTGTAAACAGGGGCAATCAAAATACTTGTGCACAGTATCAAGATGATCGTCCTAGCGGATTTTGCCACTTCGTACCAGAAGTGCCAACTATTGTCCTCCAGCAACTAAAAGATTACGGTGCGGACATTACCGGCACCTTGCCGTTGCGCGGCGTTGATGAAGCACGGGTCTCATGGTAACTAATAACCCTCGACAGTGTCAACACGCTGCCAACAGTGCGTAGCGAGAGCTTTTCTGTCTCAGAAGAACGTTGGGTTCTGCTAGACGGTGAACACCGTATCTCAGGAATGGTGTTACTTGCCTAGAAAAAAAACCCAAAAATTGGCAACTAGGATGATTGTGGGTCAGCGTGGGAAGTCCTAAGCGCCTTAGAAGCCCAGGGTTGTTTTCCATAGAACGACGCAGATTGAGAGATCTTACAGGGATGTGCAAGATCATGGAGGGCTGTCAGACCTTTCGATCTGTTTGAACTAGCTGAATTCAACTGTCTGCATGGGCATGAACTTAAGCGCAAACCTCATCGGTCCAGGCTGGAAATTAGGGCCAAATACTTTGCGAAGCGTGTAGTTCATAGTTGGAACAAGCCTCCTGTTTTACTAGGAAGTGCCACTGTTAAAGCCTTCAAAAGGACTTAGCTAAGTGTTGTTCGGATCTTCTCCCGGAATTGTTAGGCAAGAGAAGGAACTCGAACCACCAGGGGTCCTGGTTTGCTTGCCGGTACAAGAAATAGGACGCTCGTTAAGCGGGAGGCTATTTCGTCCTTGGAACCTGACATGACCTGTATCTGTTTTCTATTGGGCACCTTAAGGTCTCAGTGAAAACAGCAAACTGCTTCCCGGCATCTTCCTATCTTATGTCCTTTTAAGATGCCCCCGAATGTACAATACTGATCGAATCAGATAGGTTGTTACAGTTATGAATTATCTCGGTAGAAAACACATCGCAATGACAATGGGGCATCCTCGGTGTAAACGGCTCCCAGTAGGGATCCCGACTTGCGCTACATACACCGAGCCAAAAACGCTGTTTCAGCCCATTCCCAGCATTCTCCTACTGAAGTGTCTTGTGTAAATCAAGTCTCAGCAACGACATTAGTCTAGGTTTGCCAACTTCACCCACCGCAGCCGAAAAGGACAAGGTGATCCATGTAGCACTGAATGAGTTTTCTTTGTCCGTGTCGTTGGACTCGTCTCTCGATCCACACTACTCTTGTAGGATAGCCAGCTGAACTGCTAGACGACAGGACCGGGTGTATATCAGAGCTAGGCAGGAGTCTGGATCTCGAATCCTCTTGCCTGGCTCAAAATCCTGAAGGCGCATTTGAGCAACCCTCGTTACTTTTACCATTTTACCTTAAATCACATAGTGTCACGCAAAATGTCCTTTTTTCCTTTGTCAGAATGATCCGTACCTCCATGCACCCTCGATTGCACGCGATGCGTTCTTGGCACTCCCATATTTCATTGATAATACAAGCTGGGATGTAATTTCCTTTCGCCTTGAGGAGCACCGGTCGCTGCTGTTGGCAGCAGGTAATGGAGACGGTTTGTCTGCTTGAACTTCGAACTTCAACTCCTTTGTTAGTCAGCTATAGTCGACGTGTGGCTGTGCATGGGATTAGTTTATGAACTTGGCCATAGGAACGAAGATCGAAGAATACTCGAACGAAGACAACTTCCGGAGAAAAAACACCATTGGCTTCTGATAGCATCGTGCCAGCGACTAATGTGCCACATCTGGTTAAACGGCATGTGCTAGTCAAGCCATGTCTTTTGACCAACTTACTCATGCCTCTTCACTGCTTCATCGGTTGCTAGCGCTGGGTTCAGATCCAAGCAAGCACACAATTGGCAAGCAATATCCGACGAGATTGGCATTTGATCGACATCCGAAAAACGTATTCCAATGAACATAGACGAGTTAAGATCTGTCGTACTCAATACCTTTAGATTGTACTACCGGCCCTCTCACTTTCCGTTACCCATTCGCCACCGTATCAAACAAGATCGCCTTTGCGCTCGCATTTCTGTTCCATCAAGAGCTACGGCTATTTTGTAACATTCGAAGGTTCAATTCAAATAATAAGTTCATTCGCCGCTCGCTGGTGTCAAGATGTCGTTGCTACTTCCTCGAGCTGTTACAGGAGCGGTCCTCTTTCCTCTAACCTCTTGCTGTATCTCTTTCTTCGCGTCTTTCTACTCCACCACCCTGCAGAGTAGCACCTCCGACATGCAAGTCAACCAACCCAACGCTTATCTGCTCACTTAATGCTCTACGTCGAGAATCTTTAGCGCCGGCCTTCTCCATCCACATTCACTATTCAATACATTTGTAGCTGTGGAAGTTTGCTTCTTTTCTCCGATTGGACACCTGCTTATTTCCAACGCATTTCTACCAGGCCGTTACTGAACCATATTCCTTCATTAGGCATACTTCTGCGACTGGCTTATTAGAGCGACCCGAACTCCTGACATGTTACTCCTAGACGTCTGTCATCATGCCTAGTTTACACAACTTATGCTTTCTAATGTGCAACCATCTCTTCTCCCTCGATCAGTTCATCTCATTCAGCCCCGCTGCACACTTCATGCATGTAGTTCTTTGTTGGCTGCCTTTTGGTTATTGTTGACTATGGACATGAGAATTGAGCACATTATCTTCATGTACTCGCTTCCCAGATTTACCCGTGAATGTCCGTCACTCCCTACTTGAGAATCCGATCACTTCCAGTCAACATCACTCAGATTAGTTTTTGGCCCATGCAACATTCGCCATTTATCTTGCCATAGTTCAGCACCGCTTGTGAATTACGCGTTCAACCTGTTCTATCCATCAATGCTGCCTCACGCACACGTTTATACGGTTGGTCTACCATTATCTTCGAGTGTGTATGATTCTTAGCTTAGGCAAGCTGGTGTATTTGAACTTTGTCTTCACGTGTGCTTTACACTACTAAGCAATCCGTCGTCTCGCTATCGACCTCAATGGTTCATTCGTTTCTGCGTTTACTCCGTCCTCGTGTTTGAAACAACAAAGCTTTGCCCACACTCGCGCAGGCTACTTGCTTCATTCATGCTTCAGGGAGCTAGTCGCGTCAAAATTGTCCCCTGTACGCATCAACACAGCCAGCTGGCAGACCTCGGTTATTCTAATCCCTCTTGCGTAAAAGTATGGTTCGCAATCCACACGGCGCTGCGTTATTCACTGCCGCATCGTTATCTGCTCGCTTAATGGTTCTTCGGTTGATTTTTCCAAGATTCTCGGTTTATCGCACTTCATTTACAAGCACCGTTTCGCTATTTAGGCCATAGATGTGTGAATCTTCTGCCGAGCCATTGTTTCGGCATCCTCTCCAATGGACACTTTTGAGTGTAAATCGCTTCTCATTGGTTGTACAGAATTTCTCCCTGGGCTACCCTAGCACTACTTCTTGCAGTATGAGAATAAGCCATAACTCAATTTGTATGATTGTTGTGTGCTAACTTCTGTTACATTATCTCAGCGTCAGGACCTGGCCCCCGAGGATCTCGTTCAGCTGGCCGAGCTTCATCCAGACGCTACGGATCTCCACGACGAAACGGAAGGTACTCCCCTCCGTACGAAGGATCTCGTTATCCTTACGATCAACTGGCTTCGTTCTACCACCCGGATGTCGCCAACGCCGCCGCTGCCGCTGCTGCTGCTGGTTTTCCTTATGGCATGGCTGGCTACCCGCCAATGCTGCCATTCATTCCACCTGAAGACCTTCTTCGTAGCTTGCAACCCCGTCGTCGATCTCCGATGTTTCCTCGAGGTCGCTCTCCTAATTATCGCCGAAGGTAATAAAATAAGTTCTACTTTGTGGACGGTGTCTCAGCACCTGCACTTATTTCTTCGCAAACCACCAGATTAGGGATGTTGCAGACATCGATTTACTGGAAAGATCAACTGCAACTTTTCGGGTGTCAGTCTACGTTAAACCCCTTGCTCCCGATCATTCAGTTCGTCGGTCTTCCCTACTCGTAATTGCTAATTCACCCCACTAAGTCTTCGAGCCTTGGAACGTTCTTCGTGACGCGTCATTATTCTGCGGCATTGGCGTCTCCCGTGATGCTCACCAGTGAGCAATCGTCGGGTTGTGTTGCATTTTATCTCATCCTGCTACCTACTGCTGAATTGCATTTGTCTTTCGTCACCTTTGAATGTGCGAAAGATTACATCGCATCGCATCTCACCCCGATGATGATCTACATGGAGCGGTCTTCGGTTGATTATTTTGTCCAGGGACAGCAACTCGGCTGCACAAATGCTACCTGTTTGCAACGCTGCTGCGTGCTTACCGCATCACGCCACGAATGAATACCCTTACTTTTCACGTGGCCTATCGTTCTCCTACTTGTTCCTGGATTCCTGAAGCAGTATTTGCTCTGGAAGAGTTGTCACTCACCAACACACTGAGCCTGTCTTGTTTCGGGTTTTCTCGGTAGCATCATCTTGTAGTGAATAGGTGCTTTATCATCGCAATCTGTCCTCTCTAGTGCCTATTCTGTCAGTTCCATGTTGTAGAGCCGACTGTTTCGATTAATTCACTCGTACTTCTCTTCGGTTCCGTCCTTCCAAAAAAGCAGCGCTCCAAAATTTCTAGGTATCTCGTTAATTCAGCTTCTGTCTGCCCCTAAAACTTGAGATCATTTCCATCACTTTTCTTTTTTAGGAGCCGAAGCCCGCTTGGTGGTAGTATGCGATCTCGTGGGCGTAGCCCACCAATAACGTATGATGGAAGAGATCCTAGCCGCCGGTCGGCTGTCGACGGTCGTGGGCCTTTCGCTGATTCATCACGCAGCCGTGGGCCCCGGAATATGAGGAATGGGTATTCACCACCCCCAGTGGGAGGCATGGGGGGTAGACGAGACGATTCGCGCATGCGAGGTGCACCAGATGATAGAAGGAGGCGCTAAAAACGTTCAGTGGATGTTTTATCGCATTTGGCTGTACTAATTATAGCCTTGTTTATTAAAAAAAACTTGTCAACGTTTTGTTTTTTGACTTTCCTCGTAGTCCACACTATCATCTCTCGCACAGCTTTTTGCTCCCTCCACCACCACCGGCACCTGAGTTAGTTTGTTGTTCTGTTTGTAGCCAAATCACGAACATTTTGTTTCAGGCCCTGCCCACTTTCATGGCATTGGTCTGTTCCCGTTGTTTGCATTCTTCATCTGCCCTTACTTCCTATTTGGTAGCTTGCACTTTCCCTACGTCCATCCGGCTTCGCCGTAGCAGCTGTTCGCGATCAACGAGGATCCTAAGATGCTCCCGCGACATCAACATGTCCGAACATATACAACCAAATAACAAGATAATTCACACCTCCACTTCGGTTATCATGAGGGTGTCCTAGGTACTAGTTTTCGAATCAACACACATTAGGAGTATCCAATGTAGGTGCAATTGCATATTGTGTGCAAAAGGAACCAAGTTATGTGACCTTATAACATAGTGGCACGAGCGCTGATCGAAAACTTTTGTCATTTACGTTTTGGAATTAGTGACGACAATGAGTACATAGGAAAAAGTATATAAGATTCATGGTCTGCTTACCTGGCGTGTTGTATGCAGCGGATAACGCAATTTTTGAGCTTTATCATTGACCGACGACAGATAAGGTTGGACTCAGATTGCTTTGGTCATACATGACGTCCGAACCTATTCATGAAGATGATTGGGCTCCGCCAAGCGCCTATGTCCCGGGTTCTTAACTAAAGTGTAACGGAAGCACAGCAATGCGGAAATGAGTGCTATGCTAATTCCAATCCTCAACATAGAGAGAGGACCATGAGATTGAGTTTAACGTCTAGCCATTGACCAATCCGCTACGGTGCAGTAAATGGAAGAGTCCTGTTTGCGGCTCACATTGACAGTGCTTACATGACAAGTTATTTTCTGCTCGTTTTCTCTGTAATAGAGTCTTGAAGGCAATTACGTAATGTCTACACCATACGCAGTCGAGCCTTAGTGGGGGATCTTTTTGACGTTCTCGGCGGTCCCCATTCATTCAAGCAGCTGCTTTTGTCACAATCACGACCGGTAGCCGTATTTTTCTTCCGGATTGTCACGTGATAGGTGCCAGCTAGGCATTCTGGGCTATCACATTTGCCTGTGGCCGAATAAGACCGATCCTCTACCCTCGGATCCCCGTTTGCAGTACGTTTCATTAGCCTAAGCTTGTCAATATAAGCTAACTCCCACTCTAATGATGCACTGTCTCTTTCTTTGGTTACGAATGGATCCATGGATCCATGAATTTCTCGTTGGAAGAAAGTGGAGGGTACAGGTGGACGGCCATCTAACCGATTGGTATCCCTCGACCAGTGGTGTACCTCAAGGTACGGTACTGGGACCTACTCTGTTTCTCATCCATATCAACGAGCTGCCCCAGCTTCTACGGTCGCCGTGTGCACTGTTTGCGGATGACCTCAAAATTTGGCGAGAAATTAATACTCTCGATGACTGTGACATTCTCCAACAAGACCTCGACCGCCTCGCAGTATGGTCTGCTGAAGTCCACCTACCGGTCAACCTGGCAAAGTCCTTATTCATGAATCTCGGGAAGGCTGTTCACGGACGAACGTACACCCTAGACGGCCAACCACTGCATCCCACACCTTCCGTGAAAGACCTAGGTGTACTCTCACGCTGCGACTTGAAGTCCGTCGACAACACCAACAAACTGTATCGAAACGGACTGCGCATGCTCTGGGCGTTGAAACGCAGCTTCTGCACTTGGTCTGAGGACGTCGCCACTCGCCTCTTCTCTTCCATCGTCAGACCAATGGTAGAGTACGGCTCGCCTGCATACTGTCCGATCACTCGCGGCGAAGCGCAAAAGATCGAACGAGTACAACACGTCGCCACCAAGTTGATCCCCAGCTTGAGCGGCTTATCTTATGAAAACCGGTGCATGAAACTTGGGCTCTGCACCTTGTCATATCGCCGTGTTCGAGTGGATCTTATCATGACCTACCGTATTTTACATCTCGGTCATTTCCCCATGCTAAGGTCGTTACTCCACTTGCGAGTACCATGCACCACACGTGGGCACAGGTACAAACTCGTGGTACCTGATCTGAAGAAAATCTCACACCCCCTGTGTTTCGAGCGGAGGGTTGTGCACGCCTGGAACAGTCTGCCAGAACACGTCGTCGAGGCCCAATCTGCAGAAATTCAAATCTTTGTTGGATTTACACTTCGCTAACATACGTTTCAGAGAACGGTTGCCACTTGACAACGATATCACCCACTTGTGACTCACTGTGTAAACAAGCATTTTGTGTGCTACAGAAGGAGTTGCTGAACCATCTCAGGATAACCACCGGACGTGTTTATTTTTTTTAAAAATGTTTTTTGATTATCACCCGATGGAGTTGTACAGAATTATTTTCTACTTGCTCCAAAATACAGTATTCAGCTATTAAACAATGTGCTAGTCTGAACGCTCAGCTCATTCCAGACGGACTCCTTTGATGCCGGCCCGTAGCAGAAACGATCACAAGTTTGGGCTGTAATCCTGAGGTCGCGGGTTCTAGCTTGCCTAGGGGAACGGGCGAGCCTCGCAGTATCCTTAGCCTACGCTGACTGGTGGCGTGGCAGCGGATTGTTGGCACCGTGTACCGGCGTAATGATGATGCTACACGCCTAGTGTCTTTTTGTGGACATTGAGGTCGCCGTCTACTGAAGAGTATTTGTTTTCTAAGAACCCCTGCGCTTTGCTGTTCCCGCACGTTTACCAGTATTTGGCATGCGAAGCCGGAGTCAATAATGGGATTGAACTCTTGCCAGTGCACACCCCTCGCACAGTCCAATAGAGCAGAACCACTCAGATAATTAGTTACCCAGAGATTCAACAGGTGTTAATTTACTCCAACTGATAATTTCTTTAACTTGTAGTAGAAAAGCCACTCTACAGATTAGCTGCATACTGCTCGGAACGGGTTCCACCTTTAACCTTATGATCGCCCCTACCCACGGAGGTGATAGGCTTTTGGACCATTCTGATTGCCTTTACGCGTTGTTTTCTTGACTCCATTTTCCCTCACTCCGTTTTCTTACTTTATCGTCCCGTAGCCTAGAGGTAACGAGCTTGTCTCATAGTCTTGCGGCACGAGTTTGAATCCGCGTAGGGGTGGGCGTCCCTGCGGTGTACTCATCCCGCGTGCGAATGGTGATGGTCGCACAGTAGTGAAGCGCCGTTAGGGCGTACAGCATCATCAACAACATCAGTAAATCAGCCATTTTAATTGATGCTTCGCTGCCATACAACCATGATAACCTACTTACTAAAGAATAATAAGAGGGAGAGAAGGGGGACTTATCTGAAAATCTTAATGCCCTAAGCCAAGAATTAGCCTCAAGGTGCTTACACCTTGTGTAGATAACATACCGTCACAAACAGCTGGCTATGGTACAAAGATATGGCGGCATCGGTGAGACAGCTTCCTTGCGGCTTTCACTGCCCCGCGTCATAATCAGCCCTTATCCCGCAGATAACTCAGCACCAAACACCAAGATAAGTGGATTGATTAACTACCTCGAGTTCATCGGTCAAGGGGTCATAAACTGGTTAGTGGTCCTGCAGCAACACTTGCACTTTGAAGGCGTAAAGTGCATCCCAAATATAGGGGCCACATTAGACAGGAGATTCAGGGTTGATAGTGCCGCCGCAACATCGTCGGAAAGCAAGACGATATCGTCCGCGTAATCAAGATCAACTAACCCTACACCAGGCAGCACTTAAACGACTACATAGTGAGATTCCGCAAGTGAACACTCCATGATAGAATCCACGACGAAATTGAACAAAAATGGGGAAATCGAACAACCCTGGCGAACGCCACTTGTGGTCGGATAGCTATCCAATAGGACACCGTAGACCCTGACGCGGCCTGTAGTGTCAGAGTATAGAGTATGTAGGATGTTCACATATTTCTTGGGAACACCTTTCCGCTCAAGTATTTCGAACAGAGTCGATCGATCGACTGAGTCGAACGCACTGCTGAATTCGAGCAACACAGCTATCGTCGATCTGTGGTATGCGTGGCGCCGCTCTAGCACATGTCGCAGAGTGAATATATGGTCTATATAGCCACGTCCTGGGCGGAAAGCGGCCTGCTCTTCCCTAATTCGAGATTCCCGTTCCCGGGGAGGTGACGAAGGAGAATCGAGGCCAGTAATTTTGTCACGACGGCGTTAGGCTAATACCCCTATGGTTAGAACAGTCTGTGTGATTGCCCTTCTTGTATATTGCCACTATAACCGATTAGCTCCAATTAGCCGGGACACCCATCCAGATACATTCGAGTAAGGTCAGTGCTTTGCTGAGGACCTCACCTCCATCCTTAAATAGTGGAGGTGGGAGGGAATCCGAGCCAGCAGCACGAAAACGATTGAGGGCTGTGATCGCGTTTCGGACTTGGGCCACCGATGAGACATCTAAACCAACCGTCCATGGCTCGTCCTGCATCACCTGAGTAGGAAGATGTCCGGGAACAGGGGGCCGGCTGAACTGATCTTGAAAGTGTTCCGCCCATCGAGCCATACGGCGCTTTTTTTTGGATATCTCCAGTCTGAGCAGCCCATTGCTGGGCGGCTTGAGAGGACTCGCGAATCACAGCGATCTCATCGACGTACTCTAAGTCCCGAAGGCGGTCACCAGGGACGATTTCAGTGTTGGACAAAGTTTTGCCGGGCGTTATCCAGGATCTCGTCCATGGCGAAGTTGAACTAGAATGACGAGACTAGGTAACCCTGTTTAACTGCTCGTGATACTGATAGGGGGCGAAATGTCTCCGTATGCTTGCATGCGGCCCGAAGTTTGATGGTAAATAGTAAGGAGCACGTTGATGTACTTCTCAGGTGCTCCCCTCTTCAGTAATCGGTCCCAAGGAGCCAATCTGTCAACAGAGTGAGACGCGGTTCGGATGTCCAAGAAGATGACTATGGTTGGTCAAATGAACATATGGCGATGCTCAACTATCTGGCGTATAGTAACGATGTGATCGACGCAGCTGCGACCTGGGCGAAATCCAGCTTGTTGTTCACGCAGGTGCTGTTCCCGTACGCAACTGAGTCTCCGCAAGAGTAGGGCAGCGATTAGTTTGGATGCGACATAAATAAGATTGATGCCACGATGGTTGAAACAAATGGTCCGTTCTTTTTGTAAGCAGGTGCAATATCTGCTAACTTCCAGTCGAATGGGATGGTTTCAGTAGTCCAAATCCGATGGAATTGTGATGTCATTTTGCGAGAGCATGACTTCTATATTTGAAGAGGGCAGGAGGAATTTCATCAGGTCATGGTGACTTGTGGCGTTTCAGTAGTCGATGCTCATGTGAAACATCAGCCTCGGTCGATGGAGTACTGTGAACCCCGAAAGATAGACTCGGTTGCGCTGGTGGCCAATTGAACTGATCTTCAAAGCGTTCTGCCTATCGTACCAGTCGACGGTGACGACTGTATATTAGTTCACCGTCATTTTCATGCAAAACATCGCTCACTGTTGGTCTTCTGCTTCCCTTGGAGCGAATAAGTTGATAAGTTTGCGGGACTTTCCTGATGAGGTGGCCCGCTCCATCTCAACGATGCGTTGTCTCCACCGAACCTCTCGATCCTTCCTGAGGAGTTGTCTGAACTCTACCTGTGGTTCTGCATAGTGCATTGTACTCAACTCCGGCGGGAATTACTCGACGACTTCTATTAATGGGAGTGACTGTGCAGAGATCGAATGACTAGCAGCTCGTCTAGTAAAGCCACTGATTAGGTTAGCGGACTTTCGTAAGTCGCTCTGGATCTATGCCTAGTTTGTCTCAACATCGGAGGATAGAGAACGCAGGTTGGAGGTTAATATGTTCTGAAATGCGCCGAGAACATTGGGGGCGGCGATGCCGTTGTGCGTCTCTAGAACGCAGAAGGAACTTAGCACACGAGCGCATGATCGGAAGTCAGGTAGGTTTTCCAAATTTACTTGCAGTTTTATGCAGCCTCGCAAACGGTAACTAACAGCGATGTGCTCAATCTGCGTCCAGCTTGACCAGGCGCCGGAGATCACCAGGTTACTCGTTGGCACCAGGAATGTCACAATTTGGTGCTGGAACGGAACAAATCGTGGTCAGCGCACAGTTGAGGGAGTCGATCGCCGTTGTCCATCCTGCGAGTACCGTGTCTTTGTTGAACCCTAAGTTCACTCTCATGAAGCTCTGGGCTACCGACCTGCATATTTAGGTCTCCGGCGAGTATCACGATGTTCTTGCGGGGGTCGATGAGTTGGCGGGAAAATTCGTCCGGGCTGCAGTCCGTAGGAGTGTACGCTGCCACAATGAATATGCAACGCCCACTGATCCCGTGGCTGGAAGATCGCACTAAACTTTTTAAGCGGACTGCTGTTGACAAGGAACCAGTCAATGAGCGCCGCCTCAACACGCGCGCTTAACGCAACTCCTACACCGGCGCAACCAGAGGTTGCTGCTGTCGCATCTCCCGATAAGCACATGGGGAATGTGCAATTGGAATTTAGGGATGGTGAGAGTAATCGCAGCGTTGTGCTAAACTCTTGTAAACGGGTTTCGGTTAGGCGGCAAACGTCGATTGAGAGAGTTTCCAAAGTGAGCGCAGTAGCAGCTTGTGAACCTACCTGCATGAGCGTTCGAACATTAAACGTAGCTAGATTGAAGAGCGAGCGCGGTACGACAAAAACCTTGCTGTTGGTTTTGGAATGTATGCGATCAGTTTTGAGGAATTCATTGATGAGACTAGATGTACCGTTTTTACTTGCAATGCACATTGGGCGACTCGAAATCATAGCTTTGGGCTTTGCCGACACCTTTAGTCGCCATTACGGGCCGGCCTAAAAGTCTCGCTGCTTTGCGGCGGAGAAACTGCATGGTTGGTCGCAATTACGGGCTTTGTTACTAAAACGCGAGTGGTAAAAGCAAAAGCCTGAATTGTTACGCTTCGTGCGACGAGGTGATGAGCTAGAGCGGCTGCGCTGCTTACGATCTAGGGAGAGTTTCTCGAGTTGGCGTTGTAGTGATGCTATTTGCGATGATAAAGCCTCGATTGTCGATGGTTCACTAGTCGCGGATGTCGCTGGAGCTGCGACGAGGTTAACTCGAGTGAATGTCCTAGATTTGTTCGTTGGCTCATGTCGTTCGATGACACGGTGTGCTAGTTCTGCAACTGTTGCGAGAGGCAGGGCAAGGATGGCCTGTGTGTTTTCCGGGAGGCGTTGCATCCACATTTCGTGGAGAATCCCTGTGTCCGCTGGATGTACCTAGAAGCTGTTGCATCTGTCGCAACAAGGTTGATAGCATCCTGTCCCCTAGCTGCAGATCCCTAAACAGCAGTCGGACCTTGTCAGAGGGCGTGATTCGCCGCATAATCGCCTGCTTTACTGTCTCATATTCGCATCGGGAGGCGGGCAAGCTATGATGTCTCTCATTTGGGAGGATACACTCCGGAAGGCGGGACAAAAGTTGGTATTTAGCATTATCAGATGAAATTTTACAATTGTAAGAAGTGGATTCTAAATGCGCAAGCCATAACAACGGGTCCTTCTCCCGGATGTAGATGGTTTATCATCAGGACTATTCATCGTAAGAAATGAATAAGTGTATGCAGTAAGTGAGAAAACAAAACGATAGCGAGTGAAGTATCCAGATCACTAGAACGAGCTCATCAGGATGAAAACTCCAATTTTTGAGTGGCACCTGGAATACTAGTGGTAATCGATAACGTAAGAGACGTGTCAAATACGGGACCGGATAGAAGTTGGAGGCAACTGAACCCAACGTATATTGTGCAGGCTACAAAATAGGAAGCGAATCAACCAGGGCGAGAAACGTTGCAGCAAGGCACTCACCAAAACGCTTTGTGTTAACGGATGTGCAGTCAGTAAAACAAGTGGATGTTTTGAAAGTTAAAACAACCGTAAAATCCAATGTTGCAAAAGACTGAAAGAGCGTGTTTTCCGGTACACTACATAGCCTTTTCGCAACTTCTTAGTCACCTAGGTAGAGTCGCTTCTGAGCGTGCTTTAACTCGGCGTTTGCGGAGCTCCATGCTATTTTTGATGACATGTTTCCAGATCGGAACCGTTATGTAGCAGTTAAGCTGTTCTACCTGTGATTCGACGGATGGCTATTGTTGCGAAATTTTATTTTCCGTCTCTATCCAGTTGATGCTGACTTTACTTGAACTTCATTTTCACCCCATTACCTTTCCCGCACTTTGGCTCGTTTTGCGTAACGAAAATCGACCGTCTAGTTTCATTTGCTTCTATCATCTGGTTTAGTGTTTTACCACCTCTACCCCTTTGTGAACCGTGGAGATGTCGCCGTTGTTTGACATTTAGGTTCCGCCAGTTTCTGCTGAAAATAGAGTTCACCTGATTGGTTTAGATATTTTTCGGATGCGCCCGGACTAGCCTCCTATACTGCCCTCTGTGCACGTGGCACCATCTTTGAGACTGTCACCAGAGTCGCTGGAAACAACAATCACCGGAGTGCCGTGAATCTAGTCGCAATGAACCAATTGGCCGTGACGATAGAAGTTGACGATGTCAATGATAGTAACCATGCGCTTCAAGTGCGAGGAAAATACGACGAAAGAAGCGTCACGCTACTCAAATAGAACAACGGGAAGCGGGCGCACCATTAACTACACCACTTAGTACAGTTTTTAGCTACTGACAGCTGGTATCAAGCTCCCGATCCAGGAACACTACAACCACTGACCCGACCAGGTCTCAGTCAAGGGCTCCCAGCTTTCGACTGGCTATCTTGTGGCTTCATACAGCGGGTCAGATTAGCAGCATGCAGGGCATGTCTAGGTTGTTGGGCATCAGATACTTGGTGAAATTGACCCACGCCAATGTAGTCAGTTCGAGTTGGTCGAATGCCCCAATCTGGTACGCCACAGAATATTTCTTTATCTGAACTGACTTATCACCCAGATGTAATCAGATCTCAGCTGTTGTGACGCTTAATGTACGGCTAACCTGCGGCTGCCGTGCAGCTGGCTATCGCCAGAAATGTGTTATGGTTTCCGCTGATTTTACTGATACCCTGCCTACAGCCCCCAACCAGCTCAACCCCGTACGAAGTGAGAACGCCAGAGACCAGCCAGACCGAGAGATTCTATTGTATGAGAGCATGGCGCAATAAATAGGTTGTAGGAAACCACTAACACAACAGAATTGGGGACGTTAATTACTGTTAATCCGCACAAATCAAACAGTTCAAGTTTATGGTCCGACTTACCGTTAATTCCACATAGATTCGCATTTGGTCTTTACTCGTGTTCGATCTCTAAGTATAGATCGACCCACTATGCGCCACTGTTCTCGACTTGTGCACTCGTTCTCCGTGACAGCAACCACCTACGATCAAAGAGTACCAGTCCCTTAATATCTTCACTGTGGAGTGGCCATATTTATGCCCCAAACAGCAGCAGTACAAAGCAGAATGTTGTACACCTTGCCTCTAATTAATAGCTGGTGTTCTGCCATCCCCGTTGATTATCTAAAATTTGATTGCATGCGAGCCTTAACGATACGCTAATTAACCTCCACTATGGTTTAAACACGGGAGGATACAACCCACTTTTCAATGCACACTCGACTTTGGTACATCTACTCTCGTTCACCTTCGGGCGACGATTCTTCACGCTTCCTGCTGGTTATTCACCTTCCCGTATTAGTGCTCTTAAACTTGGATAACTACCCGGAGTATTGCGTCGACAAGCAATATCATGCACGATTGACGCCAAGCTAAGCGGGTTTGCATCTGAACTGCCGACCACCAGCTCGTATACTGTCGCTTGCAGTTGATGACATCGGAGCGTCAGTACGGAGTACTGCGACATTGCTGTTGTCTCCCATCTCGTTGAACCGAATTCCCCTTGCGCATCTCATTGTTTACTATGATGTTTGTAAGGATGCGATCATGAAACTGTCATTACAATTGCAGCTGCTTTTTCGAGGTGCAGAATCTAATGTTTCTTGTCCGGATTGATTTGGCTCCGTGGAAACAATGCTTCCTTCTACCGGAGCACTAACGCCACTCCTAAATATTTTCCTCGCCCAGCTTTCCTTACGGGCACTTAGTACGCTCCTCGACTAGTAAGTATCACTGGTACGTGAACAACTGTTTTGTCTTTCAACAATCGACGTGTCCACATTTTTGGGATTAACTGTGGTATTCTGTCGCTAGATTAATCACAGCCTACGGGGTCGGACGGTGGCCGAGTGGTCTGTACATTTGGTTTGCAACCATAAAGTCACCGGTTCGAATCCGCGTAGGGGCAGGCGTCCTCGCGGTATACTCAGCCCACGCGCGACTGGTGGTGGTCGCGTGACAGCGAAGCGCCGTTACGGCGTACAGCTGACACATTATTTATTATTTTATTATTTGCAACCTACGGAGTGCGCATGCGCGACCCACATCTTTAAAGCCACTACTCTAAAAGAATTTGGCTTCTGTACAATACAATCAAATCATGGTTTATTCCTGCATTTTCTCTCGCTCATTTCCGACTTGCACCCCTAGTTGATATGGTCTTTCTTTTGTCTCGCTATTGTTCCATCCATATCACATCGATGGCTTCCCACTGCGGGTATGTTTGCGTAGCATCGATTCTCACTTGTCCCGAATTGACCACCCCACTCAAACGTCTATTGATCGAGATAGATATTGCGTCGTATGCTAGTCACGGAAGGTTTACGCTTGTCTCCGCATTTAGTCTATAGAAGAACAACCGGCTTGTTCACGCGGTCGATACTCGTGAGTAGTCGAATCTAAATTGAACCCGAAGTGATCCACTCCATTGTTTTTCCTTTTTTAACGGATAGGCCCTCAACCGTTAAAAATCATATTTCCTCCTAGCCTGTTCATTAGCAATGGGTTTCGAACCTTGGTGTTCCCTTTTCTCATCTAAGACTCTTTGTAATGGGCTTTTTTAATCGCTTGCTTTGCGATCGCTTTCTGAAGTTTATCGGCATAAATCGATAGCAACTGGACTTCAAATCGAGCCAGTGTAATTATTTCTCTCCGTACCGAGTCGCAATTTATCGTGTTACTGCGTTCCCATGCCGAATAGCAGTCATAAAAACACCGAATAGAAATGAACAAAACGGATCAAACAGGCAAGCGAACAATGCTATAGATGTGTTGGGCGGGGCCTGGTATACTAGTCGGTAAGCAATGACACGTAAGACGTGTCAAATACGACAGTATAGAAATCGGAAGCGACTGATCCCAACGTATATTGTAAGGCTACAAGGATAGGAAGCGAATCAGACAGGGCGAGAAACGTGCAGCGAGGAACTCACCAAAACGGTTTTGTGACAACGGACGTGCAGTCAGTAAAACAAGTGGACGTTTCGCAGGTTAAAACAACCATAAAATCCAATGTTACAAAATACTGAAAGAGCATGTTTTCCGGTGCACTACAAGGGCCTCCCCCTAGAAGGCTGAAGGATAGAAGCCTTCTATGGAGCTGTTAGTGGGGGGAACGGAAGGTAAGGGTGGATGTGAATGTTTGCAGGGGCTGGAGAATGGCTTCCAAAGGGGGTGTGTGTAGCAGATTTCGCTGGGTCCAGGCTTTTGTTAGTTTTATTTATGACGATCGTGTGGACCAGAGTGCATCATCGGTGGGCCGTCGGGGCGGGCTGGTCGGACTGCAAAAAACTGGCTAGTCCAGAAAAGAGGCCGACAGGACCTTCCCTTTGCTGCAGACCCGACGGTGCGCTTGGGAGGTGTCACTCCCCCCACCGCACTTTAGTCCACGGTCCTCGTCCCACGAAGAAATCCAGGCGTCCTCGTCCCACGGAGAAATCCGGGCGTCCTCGTCCCACGAAGGTATGCGGCGTCTTCGTCGGCAATGCCTGGGCTGCGTTTTGGGACCAATCCGTTCGTGGGTGTCTGCGGTCGAGGGCGACTGCCTGTTCCTTGGATGTGGAAGGGGGCTTTGGGACGGCTGGCGAGTCACTCGAGGGTTGCCTGGGCAGTTCCGGCGGTTGAGTTTCTGGAAAGTAAAACTCAGAGGGGGTTGGCAAGGGTCGGGGAAGTGGCTTGACGCCGGAGAGGGAACATGGCAAGCATGATAAAAGCAAATACGCTTTTTAGGTTTTCAAAA